CCGGGACCGATGCGCTTTGCGGTGGGAGGAGCGGTAGCATCGCCTTGGGGATGGTCCTTGCCCTTGGATTTCTCAATCTCTGCGTGGATGGCTGCATTTTGAGCGGCGAGATCGAGCGCTGCGAGCTTCTTCTCATGGGTGAGATCGACGTCGGCGTCGATGGCCAGCGGAGCATCGCGGCGTATGGAGGGCGCGTTCCAGTAGAAATGGATGAGCAGGGCAAGCGCGCAGATGGGCAGGAAGGTGACCCCTCCCAGGAGGTAGTAGAAAGCCTCTCGCAGCATGGTGACTGGCTATAGTGATGTCCGCTCGCGAGCGCACTGGGTACCGTCGAGAGCCGGGTGGGGCGCCAAGTCACGACGACGACTGTGGTGTCTACCGACGCGCCATGACTACGCTGCCAGGGTCAGGAGGAGAAGAGAACTACGTTTGATGCCGTCGATCGGCTCACCCGATGATGTATCGGCGAAGGAGACGAAGAAGTTGTGGCGGTTGCGATGTGTTGGTGACGAGGACGTGGTGACAGCAGAGGAGCTGCTTTTTGCGTCTCGAAGGGAGAGCCACGTCAGGCCAAGCGTTGCTGCGTCGGAGGGGAGCCGTGCGAAATGTGTGACTGTAGAGCGCAGCGTGGAGGCTAAGGCGTCTGTGCGCGGCCAGCCAAGACCAACACCGACACGGCCAGGCAGCCTCCCAGCCTGCTCGGCTCGAATCCCACCCAGTGAATGAATGCATTATTGCAGCGCGCTGCAGGCCGGGGAAGCCCACCACAGCTACCCGCCCACCCTCGTTTCTTCTGGCTGTTTTCCTACGAGATTCTGACGTTCTGACGCCTGATTGAAGCGCACTCGTGAGCTGCATTCGTCTTCACCAGCACTCTCGATCAAGTCCATCGGCACATCCGCCAAAGGATCCCGGAAGGTCGAGTGATGTCGTGGAGAGCAGCGGTCGCTTGAAATAGCATCGTTCCTCCACTCAAGGCCCGCCCCTTTCTTGGAGTGATGTGAATCGAAGATCTCACATTCCCAAAATTGTGGATTTCGATGCGTGGGATGTGGAACAGCCTGCGATCGCTGCAGCCTTGAGTGGAGCAAAAGAGCAACACAAGTCCACACAGCGCGAGCCAACTTATGCATGCACAATCCACCTCGGCGCAAAATCGAGGCACTTGCACAGCCAGCCACGCAGCCCCGCTCGATTAGCGATTGGCCGACCCGACCGACGGTCAGACCAGCACAAGCGCCACGCTCTTGCTCACGCACGCTCTCCCACACAATGCGCATTGCAGTACTCGCTGTGGCCCCTTTCGCGAGTGTGATCCAACCAACCCTCCCTGGACACCTCCACCACCCTTTCCCCCCTTCACACGCAATCCCGTCGACCCCCAAGGCATCATGGATGAGAAGTACGGTGAGTACAGCGCACAGGCGCCCGTATCGCATCACGCTTGTTCTCGCGTCTTACTGAGCCTCCAATCTTCGATCCTGCTGCAGACGCCGTCATTCTCGGCACTGGTGTGACCGAATGTGTCCTCTCGGCCCTGCTCTCCGTCGATGGCAAGAAGGTCCTCCACATCGACCGAGGCCAGGTGTACGGCGGTGAGATGGCCTCGCTCAACCTCACCCAGCTCTACGAGAAGTTCCGTCCTGGCGCCGAGCCGCCCAAGGACTGGGGCCGCGACCGCGACTGGGCCGTCGACCTCATCCCCAAGCTCATCATGGCCAACGGTGAGCTCACCCAGATGCTCGTCCACACCGACGTCACCCGTTACCTCGAGTTCAAGCAGATCGCCGCCTCGTACGTCTACCGCGATGGCAAGATCGCAAAGGTGCCCGCCACCGAGATGGAGGCCGTGCGCTCCTCGCTCATGGGACTCTTCGAGAAGCGCCGCGCCAAGAAGTTCTTCGAGTTCATCCAGAACTGGCGCGACAACGACCCCGCCACCCACCAGACCCTCGACCTCGACGCCGACCCCATGGTCAAGGTGTTTGACTACTTTGGTCTCGAGCCCGGCACCAAGGACTTTATCGGACATTCGATGGCCCTCCACCTCGACGACTCGTACCTTCAGCGTCCAGCTCGCGAGACCTACGACCGCATCATCCTCTACACCTCGTCCATGGCCCGCTACGGCAAGTCGCCCTACATCTACCCGCTCTACGGCCTCGGCGAGCTGCCCCAGGCCTTTGCGCGTCTCTCGGCCATCTACGGCGGTACGTACATGCTCGACAAGCCCGTCGACGAAATCGTCGTCGACTCGGACACGGGCAAGTTCGTCGGCGTGCGCAGCGGCGACGAGACGGTCAAGGCCGACATGGTCATCGGCGACCCGAGCTACTTCCGATCCGGCGTCAACGGCAAGGACAAGGTGCGCGAGACGGGCAAGGTGGTGCGCGCCATCTGCATCCTCAAGCACCCCATCCCCAACACCGACAACTCGGACTCGGTCCAGCTCATCATCCCGCAGAACCAGGTCGGCCGCAAGCACGACATCTACATCTCGGGCGTATCGAGCGCACAGAACATCGCCGCCCGCGACTTCTACGTCGCCCAGGTCTCCACCATCGTCGAGACCGACAAGCCCGAGCTCGAGCTGCGTCCCGGTCTCGAGCTTCTTGGCCCCATCCTCGACAAGTTTGTCTCCATCAGCCCGCTCGAGGAGCCCATCGAGGGCGGCAAGGAGGACAACATCTTCATCACGCGCTCCTACGACGCCACCTCGCACTTTGAAACCGTCGTTGAGGACGTCCACGACGTTTGGAGGCGGATGACCAACGGACAGAAGCTCGTGCTCAAGAAGCGCGACGACTCCGAGGGCGCCCAGGTGCAGGCTTAAGTCCCGCCGCTTGCTGTAATCGATACCTCTCCCTGTCCCGCTTTCCTACTCGCTTTGCAACAGCCGGCCGTAGTCTCGTCTTTTTATGTTTATTGAAACCGCAGCCGCTACAAGACCCGTGTCACGACGGTGCTGTCGATGCGTGCAGCCTGCATCAGACTGAGCAGAGGTTGTTTGGGGTGAACGTGTGGCCGAGGTGGGGCGGTCCTGCGCGTGGAGGTTGGTGCGAAAATTGTATCGGGCGAGAAATTGGATGCGGATGGAAAGTAGGGTTGCACGCGCCCTCTTCCTGGGGCCGGTCTTCGGTCTTTCAACCGCCTCGACTTAGCCGACGACATAAGCGGAGTAACGTGGAGCGCTGGCCGAACGTGGGGTCCTAGTCTACATGTTGCCGTTAGCGCTCTCCTTTATCCTCTACCACATCGACCACCACAACCTCACACTCAACGGCTCAGCGGAACTTCGCTTGATCGTTGATCCTCCAGCCAGCATGGCGGACGATACCAAGGGCGCTGGCGAGGGATCCTCGTCCCCATCGCCTGCAGCAACTCAGGCAGGCGACAGGAGTCAGATCCTCGCACAGGCGAATCGCTTCTTGACCTCAGCCAACGTCTCAGAGTCTGCATCCGACGAAGACAAACGCGAGTTCCTGCGTTCCAAGGGCTTGACCGAGGACGAGATCTCGCGTGCTTTCCGGGATGCCAAGTCTCCCGTCGACGGTCTCGCCGCTCATCAAAGCGGCCTTCAGCCTTCCAACACTGGTGATCTGGACGCCTTTGAGATTGCCGCCCGCCAATTTGACGATCCGATCAATGCAGACGCCATCGCGCCGCCACCAAAGTCGTACCCGAACTCTCCGCTCGCTCTCTACTACGACTCTCCCGCAGCACAAGCCCACAACTTTGCACATTCCGATCCGCATAAGCAGGGCGGCAACGCTGCCTCGCCTCTCACACGCTATCAGGTGCTGCTCCAGTTCTTCCGTACGCTCAGCTACATGATGATGCTCGGCGGCGGTCTCACGGCGATTGTGGTCTGGGCGTATCGCGCCTACATCTTGCCAAAGATCACCGCCATGTTCGACGCAAGGAGCATCGTGCTCAAGCACCACATCATGCTGTTCGACAAGCTGAGAAGCAATGTCGCCAGCCTCGCCACATATGTCCCCGTCCAGCGCGCGAGGATCGGCGGCGACGACGCCTCGTCGAACGGGGCTTCTTCGCCGCTCAAGGGCGTGCTGAAGAAGGTGCACTTCCATGACGATGTCGACACTTCTGCCAAAGAGGGCGAGAAGGAAGGGGTCAAGTTGACGCAGCACGCCAAGGATGCCAAGGCTGGCAGCGAGAAGGTCGTCATGCCCGGTACCGATGTTGTCGTGGACGCCAAAACGCCGCTGCTTGCAGAGGGCGCCAACGAGGCTGATGACGACGCAGACGCATCGGCCTCCGAAGAAGGTGAAGCGGAGCCAGCCAAGCTCGAGCCAATCGATATGATGGCGTCGATTCGCGAGAGCATGGCAAGTCTCGCGGCTGCACTGCGAGGTGACTTGGCCGGCAACCCTTCAGCAGCATCCACGGGTGCAGCACCGAGTTTGTCGTCGTCCCCATCGCGTGGTGCCAGGGTAGCGAGTGTGGCCGATGCAGGATCTGGGTCGGACGAGTGGGAAGACGAGGACACGGAGGCGGATGGATCGGATGACGACGACGGGCTCGAATTCGACCCGTACGGCGCGTACCAGAAGAAGCACAAGCATACGCAGACATCCGCAACGGCAAGCTCGGGCTCAGGCTCGGCGAGTCTGGCGGGCCTCAAGTCGACTCTGGCCAGTCTCAATGCGGATATCTCGACACACGCGTTTGCGGCCAGCTCGTCGAGCAGCTACTCTGGTGGAGCCTTCCGGTTGGGTCCTGGGTCGAGTGGTGCGGAAAGCCCCAAGTCAGGAGATTTGGGCCAGGTCAAGGCAGAGATTCGCAGCCTCAAGGGGCTGTTGCTCAGCCGAAGGAACTTTCCGTCGTATGGTGCGCGGCCGCCTCCCCTTCCCGCCGCCGCAGCTTCACCTATGGACGCGCGCACTTCTTCCACTGTCGTATGATGCAAATCGAGGGCAGCTGATTCACGGAACGGCATAGTCTCGATGGTGGGTGATCATGAGTCGGTATTCACGGCGCTATGCGGGGTTGGAGGTGGTGAACTCGTCGCTGGCGCCGTAGCGTGCATGGATGTCGCCCGAAGGCAGCTGTTGAAGCTCGGCGATCTTTGAAGCAGAATCCCACCAGGGCGAGTGTTGTCGGTCAGCATCAACTGCTCCGCGTTAGACTCGAGCGTGTGGGCGGGGCGTACCTTATCAAACACGAGCTGGGTGGCGTCTTTGACGTGGTTGTATTGGGTGAGCAGCTTGATGTACTGCTCGACTATCTGCTCTGCCTCCTGTGGAGGCAACCCCTTGGCTGCTCTTGCCGCATTGTGCGTCTCCAATCTCGCACTTTGCGCGGAAGTCTGTCAGTTTTGGGGCTCGAGGTGACTCATAAGCAGGGTGGGGAAAACTTACGAAAGAACAAGTTCGGCTTCGGTGATCTCGGTTTGGAGCTCCTCGACGCTGCGAGGCGCAAGTGGTGCCAGTTCCGGCTTGATCGGGGAGGATGCGGACGGGGGATTCGGCTGCGACGGTCGTTGAGGCAGACCGCTAAGTGGGCGGAAAGCAGCCTTGAGGACTGCTGTGGACTTGTCCCCCCGCGAGGGGGGAGCCAGCCGCGCACCCTGCCATTTCGAAGGTGATTCTGATCGTCGCATCCCACCCTCAACCAGCTTCACTCGGTTTCTCAACAGGACGCAGACTTATGGTGGTTCGAGCTCGTATGCGTCGAGGAGGTCAGGAGAAAAGGGCCGGAAGGCAGTCCAAACAGGAACTCAGCCCGAAAAAAAGGCGCACGGATCAGGCGCGTTTTTTGACAGCCACCTTCCTCGCCGGACCCACCTCCGAATCAAACGTTCATACCGTATCGTAGCCTCGTCACGATCAACGTACGAACTGGGTTGGGCGTGATCCCACGGAGCATATCATTTCATCTTTAGCTGTGCAAGCACATTTCGAAACTAGGTATCAGTGAACACGGTGGTGCAGGAGCGCACAACCAACGAGCAACTCGGCGTGGCCGCTTAGTAGTCGTTGTTGTTGTTGTTGCTCGAGCCGTACGAGTCGCTGTTGTCGTTGCCGTAGCCCGAGCCGCCTCGGCCGCTGGAGCCGTAGGAGTCGTTGTCGTTGCTACCGCCGTAGCCACCGCTGTTGCCGCCGCGGCCCGAGGAGCCGTACGAGTCGTTGTCGTTGCTGCTGCCAAAGCCGCCCGAGTTGCCGCCGCGGCCAGACGAGCCGTAGGAGTCGTTGTCGTTGTTGCTGCCGTACGACGACGAGTTGTTGCCGCCACGGCCGGACGAGCCGTAAGAGTCGTTGTCGTTGTTGTTGCCGTACGACGACGAGTTGTTGTTGCCGCTACCGTAAGAGGACGAGTTGTTGTTGCCGCTGCCGTACGAGTTGTCGTTGTCGTTGTTGCGGCCGGACGAACCGTACGACGAGGAGTTGTTGTTGCCACTGCCGTACGAGTTGTCGTCGTCGTTGTTGCGGCGGCCCGATGAGCCGTAGGACGACGAGTTGTTGTCGTTGTCGTTGCTGCCATAGCTGCTGCTGTTGTTGTTCGACGAGCCGTACGACGACGAGTTGTTGTTGTCGTTGTCGTTGCTGCCGTAGCTGCTGTTGTTGTTCGACGAGCCGTAGCTGCTGTTGTTGTTCGACGAACCGTAGGAGTCGTCGTTGTTGTTGCCGCCGAAGCCAGAGGACGAGNGCCGTAGCTGCTGTTGTTGTTCGACGAACCGTAGGAGTCGTCGTTGTTGTTGCCGCCGAAGCCAGAGGACGAGTTGTTGTTGTTGTTCTTGTTGCCCGAGAACTGGTTGATCAGGTCCTTGCCCTGGTCGGAGCCGGCGAACTCCTTAGCCTTGTTGATGAAGCCCTCCATTGTGGTTGTTGTGGTTGTACGAAAGAAGGTTGGGGTGGTCTAAGTGTGTAAATGTCTGCGAACGTGTGGCGAGTGATGGGTGGACGGTAAGGACAGATTGGGCCGACGTTTATATAGCTGTAGTCGAGCATTCGTACACGCCCAGGACTCGCACGTTCTTGCAACGCATTCTGGCGCGGTCGAGCGTGACTGCTCCAGAGCCTTGACCATGCGGACTCACGGCGGCACCTCGAGCGGCACCTCGGGCGGCAGCGGCAGGGAGAGGGAGAAGACTGCTCAAAAGTGCCTGTAGGTGCCCCGTGCGCTCGCGGACGGAATGGCCGAAGCAGTGTAGCATGCTCGGCTCTGCTCCCAGCTGACCTGTCTGTGATACTGCTCGGGGCCACGGGTCAAGGGCAAGTGGACTAAAACAGAGCCATTGCATCATGCACGAACGCACGACGCACGGGGTTGACGTGAGGGCCGTGTCATTCACGGCACGGGCCTCGGCCTGGCCAACTCGCTGCCGAGTCGCCACCTGTGCGTGCATTCCCATCTGCTTTGCGAGCACGCAAGCTTGCCTCACGGTGCGGGTCCGCTCGGCTCCTCTGCCGACACCACAGACAGCGGACTTCTCGCTTCTTTTGGTAAAGACGTTCACCGCAATACGCAGGCGCACACGTGCTTTGGTTGGGTTCAAGACAGGTGTCAAGGGCGCTTTGGGCTGTGCTGGACCTTTGCAAGGGCTGTCGGGTGGCGGAGGCCGAGAAGAGTGAGTGAATGCACGCCATGACGACAGCAATCTGCACCGTGCGTTGCGCGTTGGAGAGAGCAACACAGAGACAGCGGGGCGGCAGGCATTTCAACTCCGGTCGCTCTAATTCTCCTGCTAGACGTGAGCGGGGCGGCGCGGAAGGACGGAAGAGGGTCGGTTTGAAAGCTGGGAAGGACTCAGGGCCGCCGCCCCGCAGCAGTGAACCGTGCGTTGTTGCCTTTGCACACCTCGCTTGTGCGGGCGGGCGAGTTGGTGCAGCTGCCAACGTGGAATCGACTTGGGCCGAGGCGAAATGTGACTTGTCAAATTCACCACGCCGACTGCGCCCCTCTCGCTCTCGCGTCTCGGCTGGCAGCTTCCCGCGTGCGTTCTTTCGACGTCTGCAATGACGGAGGCGGCGTGCACACTTGCGTCCAGGCTGCGTCAGGGCTGTGCACGCTTCGGCTTTGGCTGCAAAGAAATCTTCAGAAGAAGCGGCTGTGCTGGCCTGCGCCGGCGACCCAAAGCGACGCGGTCTCGACCTCGCCGAGCGATGTACAGCAGACGCCTCGCATCTTTCCCCTTTGGGCTGCGTGCATAACGCACCCGCTGCCGGTAGCAGCTGGCGGGCCCGCCGGTCAGGTTGACGTCGCGTCCTTCTTCTCGCTTCCTTGCGATGCCAGTCCCGCTTTACGCCCGGCTTGGATGCGGTTCAACATCGGCCAAGGTGTTGTAAGGCACCTTGTATCGCCGGCGTGTGCCTGCTTTGCTGCTCTAGCTTGCGCAGGCTCGGATGGCCGTCGCCAGTGTCAAGGCACCGCCTCGATAGTGAGTAAATTTACAGCGATGGCATGGAGCGTCCGCCGTACCTTGCGTTCTTCTCGGACGACACGCCGTCCACTTCCTATGTCGGAACCTCGTCTCCACCCTGAGCCTGTTCTTGTCGTGTAGGAGGTGCTCACTTGCCTGCACGGTCGTCGCATTGCTCGGGTCGAATCGTCTGTACCTGCACCCACGATCGGGGTGCAGCACCGGCCCGAGGCGTCAGGAACAAACGATGCCCGATTGTGATTGCCACCCGAGCCGATCCCGATGGGGTGAGAAGGACGCTGGTATTTTTGCTGCCTCCTTTTTGTCGGCCACTTTCTGTTTTGCTGGTACCGAAAGTCGATTTGGTTCGAGCTTGACCTTGACGCATGGCTCAAGCACAGTGGAGACCCGATGCATCGGTCACGTGTTAGGTTCGGCCTGACCGCACAGGAGGAGCCTCTATCAGTAACCCCCCCTACCGAGTGTCATCGACGGCGGAGCATTTCATATCTTGGCAGCATCTCGGACGCGGCGCTCGTCGCAAGAACACGGGCGAGAGCAAGTAGGCTCGACCGCGAGTGTGATCGAAGGGAGGGAATGTGGACAGCCGCCGCCGCCTCCACACGGCTTCGCCGGCGCCTGCACCGGGCCACCCCTAGGCTGGCACGCTGCGCAGATCACCGAGCTGTCAGCCGCCCTGCCGAACGACACCGGGACAAGGGCGAGTCTGCCAAGCAACCGGCTGCCGAATAACGCTCGACGAACCTCTGATTGCCAGCCATGAGGCAAGACGACGACGACGACGATGCGGCATCGCCCCGAATGGCGCGCGCGAGCTCGCAGTCATACGCTCCGATTAGCCAGGGCCGGGCGCGCTCATTGTGCTGCATGCCTACTTTGCACACACACACGCCCCGCTCACGCTCCACGACCCAATTCGAGATCGGCTCGTGTGCATGGCGTAAATTTTTTCCCGCAGTGCACCTGCGCTCTGGCAACGCATGGTGGGCCGGCAGGAAGAAAAATACGAGCGAAAATACCAAACGGCGCGACGGTGGTTGGGCCAAATGAGAAGAAGAGGCATCCGCACGGGGCGTCGATCGAGCAGGAGAGGGGCGACGCTCCGCATCAATCAGCCCAGCCCAGCCAAAGCCAAGCCAAGCTCAGTCGGGACAGCCAGTCCAGCCAGTCAGTTCAGCCAAGCCCGCAGACAGTTCTCAATATCGCGTGGATCTGCACCACTCCGCCTGCGCAGCGCCAGCTTTGGAGCCGATGGAGCAAGCACAGGCTCGGCTCAACGAGTCCCACCGCCAGCGGCTGGTTGAACTGCTGCTGGTGCTACTGCTGCTACTGCTGCAAGGACTGACCGAGCGCGTGTGTGTGCGGATTCCAGTTCGCCATCCCAGTCCTCGAGCCGGCTCGGCGCGCGAGGCTGTCGCTCGCACGGGTCTGCTTGGAACGGCTGGGTCGGCAGAAGCGGGAAAAACGCGAGCCAAACAGGCGCTGACTGAGGGAGCAAAGCGATGCGCCGAGAGTGACTGCAAACCCGTGAATATCGAGCCAACCAGCCAGCCGCGCCGCCGCTGCTAGCTCAGAGTTGGGCTCAACTCAACCTGGCGGCAGCACCCAATTTGGGGCGCTCGATGCGCACGGCATGAGCAACGGCCCTTTTCCACTTGCACCACACTCGACTCAGCACGATCGTCTCGCAGCCACACCTCCTCCCCCTCGCCGCGCGTCGCTGCATCCTTTCATCCACCACCATTTACCCCCTCGACCCCCCACGAAGCATTCGTCGACACCTCTGTGGTCCACGGTTTTGCTGTTGGTGCTGACGTCGCTCCTCCAACCCCGTCTCAAAGGGTCCAGCAATCGACTGGAGCACTTCCACTCCATCTCCCCGCAAATCGTCGCTTTCGGACGGAGGCTGGCGTCGCCTCAAACGCACGGCCTGGCAACGCTTTCCACCGGAGGCTGCTCTCAGCGCGCGCCAGAAGCCTTCGTCGGCGTCGCTTGTCTCGGGTCTACTTCATCCTCCCTCGGCCAAAGCTGGTCTCGCCTCACCGCCGCACTCGCTCCGGGCCCTCACCACCCACTCGGCCCACTTCCGAGATGAGCGGCGAGGACAGAGGAGCTTCCTACCGCTACCCTGGGCGGTCTGCTGCCCCAATGGCAGACGCCTACGGCAGATACGACCCCGACAGCAACCCTGAAGCAGCGCCCTACCCCTACGACAGAGTGCATCCCAGCGAGTATGATCGTCGCCGTTACGATCGGGTTCAAGCCACCTACGAAACCGCCCCATCGTACGCCGCGGATCCTTCGCGCTCGCCTGCCGCGCATCCCGACTACCGCCGCTCAGCACAGCCAGCATACAGGTACGCACACGACTACCCTGACCGTCCCTTGGTCCAGCAGCCTGCGGATCGCGCCAGTGGGCCCCGTCTAGCCGACCCCTACCGAGCCAATTACAGGGAATACGACGACAGATCGTACGAAGTGTCCAGATCCGACCCGTACGCCTCGCGCTCGCGCGCCGTCCGCCGCGACGACTATCAGTCGGCTCCGCTTCACGACCTCGACAAGTCCAGGCACGAGCATCCTGCGTACGATCGCTGCAGCGTCAGAGACGAGCCTCCCCAGCGCGCAGTCGCTCATCCACGCGCCGACGAAATGTCCTATCGCCGACCCGAGTACGATGTACATGCCCGCGAAATTCAGCCTTCGTATCGACGTGGCGAGCACAGGTCTCCAATGCTGCCATCGCAGCCTGTTCCCAACGAACATGCGCTGAGGAGCGACCTCGCTACCCGCGACTATGATGCGGCTCCGAGCAGGGACGCCGAGCTGCGCGACGCTCCCGATAGCCCCCCGAGACCCTCGATGTCCATCTTCAACATGCTCAACGACCGCGCGGCCAACGGCGATTCACACTCCTCTCATTCGAGCCCTGCCAAGTCGGTTGTGGCGGCCGAGTACGACGGTCAGCGTGCAGCACAGCCGCATGCTCCCCAAGCCTCGCTTGGGGCGTTCGACCCGGCCAGGGAGTCATCCGGCAGTTCGGCTCGCGGCGCTGCTCCTCATCCGTCCAGACGCGACGAACGTCATCGCAGGCTCGACTTCACACCCGAACCCGAGGACGAGGAGCAAGGGCATCACCCTCACAACGGAACCGCCTCAAAATATCGCTCAGACCTTAACGAGAGCAACACTGAGGCGCCTGTCCGCGTCAAGGAAGAGCCCTACGCATCGGCCCGAATGACCGACGATCTTGCCGGGCCCAAGGCACCATCTGCTGGGGCGCCGGACAGTCTAGTGCACGGAGCTGAAAAGTCAGAAGTCCCGCATCCTGCCACCAAAAACGGATCTGCGAAGGTCGGACTCAAGCTGCGCAACAATCCGCTCCCGCCGTCCAAGAGCACCTCGAGTTTCGTGGCGCCGCCCCCTCCCGCCAAGAAGAATCGTGACCCAGACGGTTGGGAGAGCGACCTGTCCAACGATGAAAATCGATCCGCCTGGCAGCCTGAGCTCGACGACTACGTCTTCGACATGCAGGAACGCCTGCGCCTCATCGAGGATGCATTCGAGGCCGGCCTTCACGAGAAGCATGTCGAGGTCGAAAAGCGAGTCGCTCGCGCCTACGAGGGTCGCCACTTTGCCATGCTCCGTCAGGTCCGCATCCGCGAGCAGCAGGAGGCTTCACAAAGGGACATGGAGCGTCGCCACAACCACGTGCGCCAGCAGCTGGACCACGAGATTGATCTCGAGCTTCTCGGCACCTTAAGCGACGGCCAGGTGTCGGGATCCAAGGGCGCAAAGAGGCGGAAGGGCGGCCGAGACGCAGACGACGTCGACGAGCTTCTCCGGGACGGCGACGAGGACGACGCCGACAGCGACGACGTCGCACTCGCCGATATTGCCGCCCGCACCAACGGTTCCCGTGCCAACATCATCAAGCTCAAGCGCAGCAAAGGCAAGCTTGGAGCCGCCGGCGGCAAGAGACGTAGGCTTGATGCTAGCGGCGCGGCTTCGTCGCCTGCACCTGGGTCCGATGCCGACTCCACGCTGGCGGATCTCAACGCTGCCTTCGACGGTGATGAATCTGCATTTGCCTCGCGTCAGGCCTCGCCGATCGCAGACGATGCCAGCTTCGCTCTGGACCTCGACGCGGCGGGCAAGGTCCCCATCGACTCTCGTCGCGCACAGCAGCTCGAGGACGCCCACCGACGCATCTGGACAACCATCGCCAAGCGCGACGTCCCCAAGGTCTATCGTACGGTGCTCCAGAGCGCATCGAGCAAAGTCATGTACTGGCGCCGTCTTTCGAGCGTCGTCCAGCGCGAGGCCAAGCGAGGCGCCGCCCGCAACAACAAGACGGTCAAGGACGTCCAGCTACGCGCCCGCAGAGTCATGCGCGAGGTTCTCGTCTTCTGGAAGAGGAACGAGAAGGAAGAGCGCGAGCTCCGCAAGAAGGCCGAGAGGGAGGCGCTCGAAAGAGCAAAGAAGGAGGAGGAGATGCGCGAGGCCAAGCGACAGGCTCGCAAGCTCAACTTCCTCATCTCGCAGACCGAGCTGTACAGCCACTTCGTCGGCAGCAAACTCAAGACCGCCGAAGCCGAAGAGTCCGAGGAGACCGCAGGCAGCAGCAAGATGATCGATCCCAACGGCGTGCCTGCCATCGACCCGCACGCCGAGGTTGCCGATGCGGAAGCCAGGCTGGCCGAACTTGACGAGATCGACTTTGACGACGAGGACGAGAGCAACCTCCGTGCCCACGCTGCTCGCAACGCACAGGAAGCCGTGCGGCTCGCCAAGGAGAAGGCCCAGGCGTTCGACGTGGCTGCTGCGGAAGAGAGGAAGCGAAACGAGGCCTTGGCCCGCGAACGCGACGGTCTGGACGCCGGTCCAGGCAAGCAGATCGACGAGAAGGACCTCGGCAAGGCCTTTGACTCGGACGACATGAACTTCATGAACCCCACCTCCATGGGCGAGACCGAGATCAAGCAGCCCAAGATGCTCACCTGCCAGCTCAAGGAGTACCAGCTCAAGGGTCTCAATTGGCTGGCCAACCTCTACGAGCAAGGCATCAACGGCATCCTGGCCGACGAGATGGGTCTCGGCAAAACGGTGCAGTCGATCTCGCTCATGGCCTATCTCGCCGAGGTGCACGACATCTGGGGCCCTTTCCTCGTCATTGCGCCCGCTTCCACGCTGCACAACTGGCAACAGGAGATCAGCAAGTTTGTGCCCTCGCTCAAGGCTCTGCCGTACTGGGGCAATGTCAAGGACCGCGCGGTGCTGCGCAAGTTCTGGAATCGCAAGCAGATCTCGTACAACCGCGATGCGCCTTTCCACGTCCTGGTCACGAGCTATCAGCTCGTCGTCTCGGACGAAAAGTACTTCCAACGCGTCAAGTGGCAGTACATGATCCTCGACGAGGCACAGGCCATCAAGTCGTCCAGCAGTATTCGATGGAAGACGCTGCTCGGCTTCAATTGCCGAAACCGCCTGCTGCTCACGGGCACGCCCGTGCAGAACTCGATGCAGGAGCTCTGGGCGCTGCTCCACTTTATCATGCCCTCGCTCTTCGACTCGCACGACGAGTTCAGCGAGTGGTTCTCCAAGGACATCGAGAGCCACGCAGAGCAGAAGGGCACGCTCAACGAGCATCAGCTTCGACGTCTGCATATGATCATGAAGCCGTTCATGCTTCGCCGCATCAAGAAGAACGTGCAGAATGAGCTGGGCGACAAGATCGAGATCGACCTCTTCTGCGACCTCAGCGCGCGTCAGAAGATGCTCTATCGCGGCCTGCGAGCCAACATCTCAGTGGCCGAGCTCATGGACCGCGCCACCTCGAACGACGAGGCGGGCTTAAAGAGTCTCATGAACCTCGTCATGCAATTCCGCAAGGTGTGCAATCATCCGGAGCTCTTTGAGCGTGCCGATGTGCGCGCGCCCTTCGCCTTTGCCGATTTCGCCCGATCGGGATCGCTGGCGCGCGAGGGTGATCTGTTGAATCTGCCGCACTCTACCACTTCGCTGATCGAGCTGCAGCTGCCGAAGCTGCTCGTGAGGGAAGGCGGCCTCTGCGACGTGCCTGGTCACGCGAGCCGCAAGGGCTTCGACACGGGCTATCTGCAGAATCTGCTCAACATCTGGCGGGCGCCTCATGTGTACGAGTCGCTGCAGCAAAAGGACTCGGCCTTTGCTTCGTTGCCGCTCATCGGCGTCTCGGCGTCGGAAGCCGAGGGAACCATGCACAGCAGCGGCATCAAGCGCATCTTGGCTGCTGCGGCCGAAGAACGCCGCTGGCGCTCCATCGAGGCGTTTGCAAGCGATGACGACTTTGCCGCGGCGTCGCTGCGCCCCATGGGCAAGGTGTTGCGACCGATGCCGAGCACCTCGGGCCGGGCGCCATCGTTGCTGATGCCTCTGGAGGAAGTTGCGGCGGACTACCGACGTCACTCGTATCTGGCGAAGGACTCGGCGCGCGCGGTGGTCGCTCCAGCCGTGGCTCCGCCGATCCGACTGTACAGCAACGACGGACCGTTCATGCAGTCGCAGGAGCGATTCTCGCAGGATCCGCAGGTGTCGGCCACGTTATTCGGACTGTCGCCGGAGGGACGCGAGTCGGTGCAGCGCGTGGCAGAGCTGGAGCGCGATCTGCCGGATGTGCCGCCGCAGGGCGTGCTGCGCGACTCGTCGATCGACCAGCTGCCGTACAACGGCATGCAGGTGCCGCAGATGAACAAGCTGATCATCGACTCGAGCAAGCTGGCCAAGCTGGACGTGCTGCTGCGCGAACTCAAGGCGAACGGGCACCGCGTGCTGATCTACTTCCAGATGACGAGGATGATCGACCTGATGGAGGAGTATCTGATCTACCGACAGTACAAGTACCTGCGTCTGGACGGTGCGTCCAAGATCTCGGATCGTCGAGACATGGTGACCGACTGGCAGACCAAGCCGGAGCTGTTCATCTTCCTGCTCTCGACGCGTGCCGGTGGTCTAGGCATCAATCTCACGGCGGCGGACACGGTGATCTTTTACGACCACGACTGGAATCCGTCGAACGACCAGCAGGCGATGGACCGAGCGCATCGTCTGGGCCAGACGAAGCAGGTCACGGTGTACCGACTGATCACCAAGGGCACGATCGACGAGCGCATTGTGCGGCTGGCGAGGAACAAGAAGGAGGTGCAGGATATCGTGGTGGGCAACAAGGCCTACAGCGAGACGGGCATGGCCAAGCCGCAGGAGATTGTGTCGCTGCTTCTGGACGACGACGAGCTGGCCGAGTCGATGCTGCGCAAGAAGCAGGCCGAGGAGGCGCAGACGGCGCAGGACAAGGCGGATTCGGCGAGGGCCATGGTGGCCAAGCGCCGGCTGAACAAGGACCGCGCTGCAGCGGCGGCGCAATCGCCTGCGCCGTCGGCCGGGCTGCAGTGGTCGCTGGAGGAGGACGAGGACGACTTCTTTGGCGCGCGTCCGCCGAGCAAGGCGGAGACGGATACTGCCGAGACTACGCCGCAGCCGCCCAGCCGGAAGCGCGGTGGCCCGAGCAAGCGCGGACGTGCGAGCGAAGCGTCGGAACGCATGACGCCGCTCGAGCTGGACGGGGACGCGTCGATGGCGGGCACCGAGGGAGCGTCTTCGCCGCTCAAAGCAAAGCGGAAGCCCAAGAGCCACCGCAAGAAGACGGTCGACGAGCTTGCCGGTGTCGACCTCTGAGCTGGTGAGCGGCGAGGTTGTGTTTCATTGTAGGCTAATCAATTGCAGCGCGCGCACGCGAGCACGGAATGCATTGTTCAAGGCTCACGTTGCACGAGCTGCGGCTGAAGGCTTGCTTAAAGTTTGATGATCTCGCGGTGCACAAAGGCTCTCGGTGTGCCGATAGGGGGTTCAGGTCGGGCGTTTCGGGTGGCTTGTAGCGCTGAGGATCTGCGCCGAGCGTGGATGGACGCGAGACCTGGGGACGCCCAAACGCCGCGCACCACGGCGTGACTCTCTCGCTTGCCAGCCCTTTCACTTTGCAGGATTCACACACTAGCCGAGGGAAGAGGCGTTCGCTGATTGAAGTCAGGCTCAAAGCATGTTGTCATCATACGGGATCTCAGTGTGACGTGCTAGGACGAGGTCGGGAATGGAAACAGCGGTCAAAGGGGAGGCTCATGCATCGGATTGAATTGCTCGTCTCGACAGTAGACGCTGTCGCTACGGCTGGATCGGAAGAAGTCTTGTCTGCTCCCAGAGACCGAGATGAAGCAGAGCGCAAGGGGGGGGGCTGAAACGAACTTGGGCACAAGTGGGAGGGGGGGGGGGAAAGCAATGACGGCGAGATGCTGCGGGCGTGGGAAGTGTGGACACGAATGCATGAGGAGCAGAGGCCGTCTAGTTGCCCAGCATCCAGGTCTCACCCTGCTCTGGACCGAGGAAAAAATCGAATCCGTGGTGCAAACACCAATGCAGCGCGACACAGCCGACGGAACCCCGTGCTGGCAGAGACAAAACCTGGCGCTGCAGTAATTCGTGTCTTGTCCTCATGGACCATCGTGCCCGCTCTAATCATGCGTCAATTGCAGCATCACTGGCGGAAGTAGAAACTGGCCCGAGAGAGAAAGAGAGATACGGTCAAATGCACCGTGGGGGCAGAGTGAGGGGATGATGCTGGCTGCGGGAGGAGAAGCGCACTTGGTTGCCAGGAACCGGTGGTGCCATGCGGAACGAATGCTCGGATGCGGCATCGCCAATCTCAACCGGGCCAAGCGTGGAGGGGGTCAGAGCGGGTTTGCATGGCCAAGTGGCGCTCTGCTACTGCCGATGCACGGAAGGCATCGTTGACCGCCGCATCCTTACCTCGTGCGCGTGCACAGCTGATCAGCGTGCTCTCGAAATGCGAACGCTGTCATGAGCTTGCACGACACACGGGCGGAGGTCGGAGAAGCTTGCGCGTGGTGCGTAGAGGATCGACCCGCTTTGCACAGGTATTCGAGCGGAGTAGCACACATGGCGCTCAGGGTCGCGCAAACAGGGTTGCGAGCGCAAGCGAGGTGGGGCGCGCACATCCGCGTCGCGGGTGTGTGTGTGTCTGTGTGTGTGCCTGGCAGCGTCGCGCCAAGCGAGACTCTGTGATCTTCACAGCCCGTGCCCGACACTTTGTCTTGGATGACACGAGTGTCCATCCTCGTATCCATATCAAGAGCAGACGGAAAGTATCATCGATGCCCTCGAATGCCTCGAAGCCAGTCGCAGCTTCGGAGATGAGGCAAACGAGAGCGGGAGTGGATGAGCCAAAGAGTGCATCCATCGGTCAACGCCCGAAGAGGATGGGAACTCCACAACAGTGCAGCTCGAGGGCTCTCGAGCAGTGCGTCTCGAGGCTCGCCGAGCTGCATCAATTTGGCCAGGGCATTGCATCTCGCTGGCGGTCGTAGCTCGGTGCAAGCCCCAGCTATTTCCAGTGCAATGCCATCCGCTGCCCTAACGGAGCTGCATTTTCCAGCGCACAGCAGCTGTCACCTGCGACTTCATGCGGAGCCTCCGGCCGGATCCGCTTTTGTTCAAGCAAAGCGTGCAGATGTGCAGCCGCGCCTCGCTCGAGGTTTTCCCACACTGCTTTGGCCACGCGTCCTGAGGCTGCTGCTCCCCCGCGGTAAGTTAAGTTGGCTCACCCCACCACACCTGGGTCTCAACCACGCTCGCATTCAAAAGCGTCTTCTCTCACAGAACGTTTGATCTCTCTCCCCTCGCTCTCTCTCTCTCTCTCTCTCTCTCT